GGCAGCTGCCTTCCACTGCTCTTTTGCAAGAAACTATGTAAGATAGCCACCAAATTTATTTTTACATTTCACCAAAATCCACATTTTCAATCAAGTGTTGGACACTCCACTGTAACAGTTGTGAAAAATCTGTTGGCCCAGATAAATGTGTGCTGAGAGTTTTCCTTTCTCTAAATTAAGACCTTGCTCCCAGACGCCCAAGAATTCATTAAGCCATAATTAGGCATGATCACTGATGATTTAAAATACTATAATAAAGGGGAAGTTTATATTGAGCTCTGAAGGCACCATTGGGTCTGTGCTAGAATTGTCTTTTTATAGCTTTAGTTTTAAAATAAGTTTTCCATTGCATCTGATGTCTGCCTTTTCTCTACTCAGCCCTTTTCACAAACAAGGGACCAGCTGTCATCCAAGTTCTCAGTGCTGTAGGCAGTGACATCTGTCCCAGCGGCATCAGAGAAAAGTACCGTTATCGTCTCAGCCCAACACATCAGTTATGAGGTCATAGGCTTTCCAGTTAAAAGGGCTCACTGCGCCTGCCATCAGTGAAAAGAGACAGCAAGCGCTTTTCAAAAATGTTTTGCTTCAGCTAACTCAGAGTACCCCAGGAGGGGTGATTCTCCCATTATCCTGTTAGCTGATGTGGCCAAAGAAATTATCTTTGATTAGCTGCCTAATCTCAAATGGGCACAAAGCAGTAGCTCTGAGGTCTGAAGTGGATTTCTTTGCCTTCAGAATACATTCTGCTGCTTGGCTGTCTGTGCACCTGCTTAACAACCCTAAAACCATCTCCTCTACCTGCTTGGTGCTTGACAGGGACAGGCTCACTTTTCCCACTTTTCTATGCTTTTTTTTTTTTTTTTTTTGTACTGGAAATCAAACTCAGATCCTTGCGCTTGTGAGGCAGGTTGTGGAACCACTGAGCTAAATCCCTGGCCCTCTTTCCCACTTTTCTAAATAAATCTTGGATTTGATTTCCTGATACCTGAAGTAGAACAAAGAGTCCTCTGGATTCTTTTATCTATCACCTATGTTTTATATCTGTTATATTGTTTTATCAAAAGATGTATCCCAGAATGTTTATTTGGACTTAAGGTTTTTATTTGTGTCATTACGAGTAACATTTTTTTAGTATGTGTCTCATTGTCATTGGGCTGGGTTTTTCATGGCTTTTATTTGTGCCTGGGTTTTACTGTAGCTCTTCTGTGGCTTACTCTTTTTAAATAATAACATTTTCCTATCCAACCATGGATATACGGTATCCCTCCATTGGGTTGGTGTCAGTTTGATGTCATTGTGACTGATTTTAAGTAAGATAAACTTAACTAGGAAGTGTTTTCTTGTTAATTTTATTAGGTTATTGATTAGTGTACCCACTGTATCTTTGAATAGTACACAAGCTATGGAGTCAGAGACTTGCAGTTGACACATTCTATTTACTAGTTATGTAACTCTGAGATCATTGCGTAGTATATCAGTTTTCAGAGCTCAATCACTGTTAATTTTCTTTATGATAAAAATGAATGTTTTTTGGTTTGAATGTGTGTAAAATTCCCCAAACTCCCCTGGATCGTAGGGCACTATTTGGGTACGTGGAATGGATGAGATAATAGTCCACTTCATGGTGCTTCAGGGTTGCCAGTTGATGGGGTTTTACAGTGTTGTCATTTCTACCACCCGCTCAGTTCACCTCATCCCCCAAGTGGGAGAAGCAGCAGCAAACATTGCATCATCGATCTCTGTTGCATTTCAGCAAAATTCTGAGCCAAAAATATGTATTTTAAACTACATCTTGAAGGGCTGGATTATAAACTGTTAGAAATCAGCGACCACTAAACAACTGTTTTCGTTTGTGGTGGATTCAGCAAATAATCATTTTGAGACTGGAAAGGATGTGCTTGTGACTGTCATGTGAAGTACCCTAATCTGGTCCTAAGTTAGTAAGCATGGGCCCGTCCCTGCACTCTGACTTAAGTAGTCCTTATAAACTTGTAGCATTTTGTACCTGTAACTAGGCGGCCAGGATGGGGTTGTCCCACATTGATCCTAAAGCTTTCAGTCAGGGGGCTTCAGTTATATCTGGCCTGCTGGAAGTGTCTTCTCTTCTCAGGGAAGTCCGCAGTATGTCCTGGGAAACCGTTCTTTCTAGGGAAAGGGATACAGTGTTCAGCCAACTGAACCAGAAATTGGAAGGGATGAGTGATTTCACATGTGTGGAATTTTTTTTCTCAGCAGCTCACACTCCAGACACTGGGCAGGGAGCAAGAGATGGGCAAAGAGGAAGTGTGGGTTGTTTGCTGGTAACAGGAACTGTGAGTAGAAAATAGAAATGGTGGTTTCATTTTCAAAACATCTTAAGGCTTTAGAGCAAAAATAATGTGGCCTTGGTATTATCTGGAAAGGTCACATCTTACTGAAGGCTGGATGGAGTGAGGTCTTCAGAGCCTGGGGGCCACAGGCACAGGGACAGTGGGAGTGCTCAGTGCATAGTTGGGGAGCCCAGCAAAAATGGCAGCCATCGCTTGAAGAAGAAGCTCTTTAGCAGATCAAGGACCACCTGTGGGCTCACCTGTATATCTGCCTCAGAACTTCCAGAAATACTAGCAGACAGAATGTAGTAAGGGTATTGGGGCTAGCATTGCAGATAATGGTCCATCCAGTACTTGCCATGCCCAGCTCACTCTGTTCTGTCAAAATGAACAATCTCTTGGAAAGTGACCAGGCAGTAAGTCACTCGGCTCTTGGTTTGAAAAGACGCCCATTCTTGTGAGTCCAAGGGAGATGTTCTAGGGAGGGCCTGGGAAAAGAAAAACATTTGATGAGGAAGAAAGGTGCTATTTCATAGAACCACTTAGTTGCAAACTTTTTCTTTCAGTGGATTTTGTATTCATTCAATTTGTTTGTTCTTTATTGTGGTGCTGTATTTCAAACCCACATGCTAGCCACGTGCTCTACCACCAGCTTCATCTCTGGCCCTTTTAAGTGGAACTGCAACTAATCATGTTTTCAGTATTTCTTAGCCCTGAATAATGTACCGAATGCTGTTAAAGAATATGTGATTTAAATATATATCAACATAAGTCAGGTCTAAACTATGTGTGATCATACTTTTATACAGCCGGAAACAAAGCACGTATAAGTACAAAAGACCTCCACATTAAATAGAAAATAAATTAATAATCTCAATTAGTAGTTCTGATTTGCTTAAATGAGGTGCTATACAAGGCAGAAATATAGTATGGATGGATACACATGGAGCTTTGGAGTTGAGAAAGCTGCTATCATCCGAGCTGCTCCATTCCTCCCACCCCTCTTCATTTTATTGCTGAAAGCAGAACCATTCTTATGGCCAACCTGTCCTTGATTTGCTTAAATTGGAGAACTTGCTGCTTCGGTACTTGCCAAGGAGAAACTGCAATCTTTGGAAGAGCCTGCTTGGATTTCCAGCACTTGAAAGTTATTCAGGGTACAGACTGTGATGAGAACCAAGTTCACTATGAAAAACGCAGATTTTTTCCCTGCAAAATGAGTGATTTGCTGATATTTTCCAATGAACTTGTGTGGCTTGCTAACATTACATTACCACGTGACGTTCCCAAAATTCTTTGAGCCTCAAGAAAAAGCATCTGCTCATAAAATCTTTCCATTTTGCCTGTGCACTGATTGGACTTAGGGAAAAGAGATACAGATGAGGTGGGGCTTCAACTCTGTATGCTGCTTCCACTGAACTCGTCCCTGGTGCTGTGATTCAGGAGTGGGTGTAGTCAGATGCTTGTCTATGCCTTGTGGTCTTCAGGCTTCACAGACTTCACCATCCGCTCTTTCTGTACCCTTGTGTCACGCCACGTATCTAAGGCTATCCTCATCCCCAAACCTTTCCCTTTTAAGAGGATGCAGTGTTGTCTTGTTTGGGGGATAAATCAATTCCCTTTTTCTTTCTTTTGTCTTCCATCTTTTCCTGGAGAAAGATGAGCATGTAGCAGAGGCTCGTTTCCAAGATCCTTGGCTTAGAGCCTGAGGGTTCTGTTGAATTGGCTTCTTTGCTCTTTTGTATTTTGGCTTCATTGTTGAGTGCAGAGGTGCTACGGATCTTCAGGAGCCAACTGCAGGCTTGAGATGCAATGGCTGCTTGCCTCCCTGCCCTTATTTCTGTCCCCTCCTCTTCAGTGTGCCACCTCAGTACCTGTTGCACGGGACATTGTTGCTATTTCTAGTCATAGCTACCACCTCTGGCTACTTCTTCAGCTGTTCGTTGCTGCTCTCTGTCCTCTCTCCTCTCTGCTTTTCTTCTTTCATTAGTCTTTCTTGGCTCTTGGTTGAGTGAGTTCTCCTCTTACTCTGCTAAAGCTAAGACAAAATGCCATAAGGTTCATGGCTTCAAAACAATAGAAAGTTATTTTTCACAGTTCTGGAAGCTGGGAAGTCCAAGATCAAGGTGTTGGCAGATTTGGTGTTTGGTGAGGGTGGCTTCCTGATTCATTCCAGGTCTTTTAGCTGTGTCTTCACAGGGTGGATGGGAGGAACTCTAGTCTTTTCAGCCTCTTACAAGGACACTTGTCCCATTTGCAAGGGCTCCTCCCTAATGAAATCACTTTGGAGGCTAAGGTCCAACCGAAGACTTTTTGGTGGGGAGGACACAGACATGCAGAGAATGGTGACCATCTAATCAGAGCCATTCCTTTTCTTTGTTCTCCGTGGCTGACAGATGAGTTTCAGTTGGTAAGGGATCATTTGGGAGCAGTTTCCTCATACTCAGAACAGCACGAGGAGAGGACAAGTTGTCAGGGTGTCATGTGATCCTGAGCTCCAGAGAGCACTGTGGCGACAGAGCTGGCAGATTCTGGAGTCTGCATCTACTCTCAGAGGAAGCTGCCTCTCAGTCCCCTGTGTAATGCAAGCACAGAGCCACAGCGACTTCCCTGGAGATCAGGATGGGGGTCACTAAGAAGCATTTCTTCTTTCTCATGTCCCATCTTTGCTTTTGTGTGTCACCCTGGCAGGACTCTCCTTCAGCAACTCCAGAAGCTTCAGACTTTGGTGATGGGCAAGGTTTCTCGGACCTGCAAGTTGGCCGGCACGCAGACTGGCACCTGCCTCATGGTGAGTTTCCCAAAGGGACAGTTTAGAAACCACTTCTGTCCTGTCCTGTCACTAGGTCTCCTTGCTGAGGCCAAGTGCAGTGGCACTGGAGAGACCATGCAGCCTGCTCTGCGGGTGTTGTCCTTTGTGTCATTACCATGGGGTGACCAGAGAGTGTGTCTGCCTCCTTCCCAGGCCTGTGGGTTTGCTCTGCGGAGAATGCTTGGAACCTTCAGCATGTGTATTCTCTCCTCCTCCCGCTCTAGGTCGTTGTGCTGTGCTTTGCAGTTGCATTTGGCAGCTTATTTCAGGGCTATGGGCCCTATCCTTCTACCACCAAGATGGCTCTGCCCAGCCAGAATTCCCTGCCGGAGCCATACACAGCCTCTGTCGGTAAGACTCAGTCGGCCACTTGGGAAGTGACTTGTTTCTTTTCTTTTTCTTTCTCGTTTTCCCAGCTTTCTGAAGGGAATCTTATATGAAAGTCCAATTTTAAAAAAATAGAGTTACACTTGCACGGAGGTTCTGGAGCTGAGGCTGCCACTTCCTTTGAGCCCCAGCAATGCTGAGGCAGCACTGAAATTCTCCAGAGTTCTGCAGAGCAAAGTTTACAAACTGCTGCCACAGACCCTGTTCTCTCACAAGTTCTGACACTCTTTTTAAAATTCTGATGAGGGAGTGGAATTTGAATTTTAGGGAGTAGACATTAACTTTAGTGAGCTTCAGTAACATTTTAAGAAAGCTCCTGTGTTTCTCCCTGCACTAAGCAGAATTGTGTTACCACACTAAAAGCCTGCAAAATGAAATTAAAGAATCAGGCTGTTTTCCAAAATAGTAGCCAAGATTTAGAGAATTTGAGACTTGGGTATCAATTAAGAAGTGTGTAGCATTCTCAGCTAGTGATCTAAGTATGTAGGAAATAAAAAAGTGACAAGTAAGAAATGCATATATGGATACACACTTGTGCCGGTAAAACCAAGCATGGAAGTGGGAGGTACTGACATTGGAGTGGGGACAGTTTTGCCATCTGAAATGTCAGGTGTATCCCTGCCTTGTGAAAAACAGGAGGACAGCATTCCATTCAGAACACTTCAGTAGCCTGTCAGGAAGCTCTTTTTTCCTAAGGGAACATCTCTCTAAATGTTGGAAGCTAATGGAAACATAGTTTTTATGTTGAGGAAAAATTGCTACAGAGTCATCCAGGTATGTGACTGTCCTATAAAGCAGAAGAGATTGTCTCCATCCTCTGATTTATAGCTTGGCTTTGCCTCTCTCCAGATTCTAAGTGGAAATGCTTTTATACCTTTTCTCCCTCCCTACAAGACCCAAGGGGATGCTTTCCTGATTGGGTCTGGACATCTCCAAGGATCCGACTCCCATTTTCCTTCCATTACTTTCCCTAGATGATCATGGGTGGGTAAGGAGGGGAGTTTTATTTTCAAAGCAGTGGTAGTTGGCTTCATGTTTATTTGCTTTTCCCTTGTTCTTCCAGCACGGTATAATTGGTATAATTTTTCAATGCACAAACTCTGAAGCCTTTACAGAGAGAAAGCCAGATCCAGTTGGCACTCTCAGTCCTAGGCAACAAGAACATAGCAGTTGTTATTTACCACTGGCCCTGGGCATTTTAGTAAGGGGATGTATATACAAGAATAGATATAATCAGGACTTCTGTGGCCTCTGGCTGACACCCTGTTGCTTTGCTCTGTCCTCAGTGAAATCCAGGAACCTGCTGATCTATGAGGAACATTCTCCCCTGGAGGAACCATCCAGCCCAGCCTCCACCAGGGAGCTTGGGGGCTGGGAGCGAGGCTCCTCCTTGCTCCAAGCATCAGGGCTGGAGTCCCTGCCTGATGTGGATCTTCCCCATGTCATTATCTCGAATGAGACCAGCCTGGAGAAGTCAGTGCTGCTGGGGCTGCAGCAGCACCTGTGAGTCCTGTACACATAGATCCGGCTCCTGTGGAGTGAGGGTGAAGGGTATGAGTCAGCAATCTGGGGTAGGCTGTGGACTCTACCAGAGGCCTCCTGCAGTTTCTCCTCTCTGGAGACCCATTTCCAGGGCCTGGACTGGAGAGAATGTGCTGCTGATGAGCAGCTGCCCCGAACAGGGGAAAGGCCCAGCATGAGCTCCCCTGATCACCTACAGCAGCAGAGAGGGGCTGGCAGTGGTGGCCCCAAGGCAAGGAGAGGGTCTTGAATCCCAAATTTCGTCCCCCACCATCTTCATCATCCCCACAAAGCCAGGAAGTGAACACGCAGCCAGGTAGCAGCGGAGTGTTTGCTGTGCACATGCACCTTCTCCCGCATCCTTCCAATCTAGAGAGTAAGAATGCTGTCAACAGAGGTACGAGATTTGTGTGTCAGCTCACATGTATCAACAGTAACTACAGGAATACACTTATTTGGAATGCTTGGGACCAGAAATGCTTTGGATTTCATAGTTATTTTCAAATTTTGGAGTATTTATATATACATAATATAAGCTCACTCACAGCCTGAAGAGAATTTTATGTAGTGCTTGTAGTGTGCCTGTGTTTGGTCTGTGCCCCGCCACGTGAGGTCAAGTGTGGAATTCTCCACTTACGGTGTCACAATGGCACTGAAAGAGTTCTGGATTTTGGAGCTTTTCAGAGTTTGGATTTCCAGATGAGGTATGCCTGACCTGCATACACTCAGACATTTATACTGAGGGGCCGTGTTTGAGAAGCACTGTGGATGCATATTCAGAATCTGTTCCCATATTGGAAGTAAAGTGGATTTGGCTCCATTTATCTAGGAGTGTTTTCTCCCTGATGGTTATGGAGGAGAATCTCATTGTAAATGTAGAGGCTGATGGGACCACAAGGGCTTGTTACTGTGAGAGAAGGCTCCTGGCTGTGCTGGTCAGCTGAGGTCGGAGGGCTCTACACACATTTCCAGTGATGTGGGTATGGTCGGTGATTGCCCACAGGCTTCCTAGAAATGAGGCTGCTCCAGCAACATAGGAAGGATTGCATTCTGATTTTCCAGTTTTCCTCCCTAATCCTATACAGGAAGAGTCATGATTATATATATCCTGGTATGTACATTTAGCATTGGCTTATGCTCACTATACTAAGCCCTTTACAAATTTGCTATCATATAAAGCCCGTGAACTGTAAGAGGTGAAGTGTTATTTTTATTTCCATTATGGAGAAAAATCTGAAGCCACCACTAGAAACTCATATGCTGATTACCTATCTCAGAATAGAAGCCTCTGTCCTAGCCCCATTTAAGTCCCCCCAGATCTGGGAGGCCTGGAGGCTTTCTTAGCTGTTAGACAATTTGATAATGTATTTATTTTCCATTATATGCTTACTATTATTTCAAATTAATTCATTTGAGAAGAATTTTTATCTGGATTATTAGCTCTTCTACAATGGAGATTGGACTCATCCTTTTATTTTTGCATTTCCAGAATTTAGTGTAGGGCTAAGCATCCTTAGTCAAAAAACAAACAAACAAAAAACAAACAAAATAAACTTAAAGGAATTTGTAAAAAAAAAAAAAAAAAAAGGGGGGGGGGGG